GCACAACTCAAACCTACCTTGCCTAGAATCCTCCCAAAACCCATACATCTGCTCCTCAACTACCACCCTCTGATGGTACAACAACGCCAAGAACCCAACAATGCCTTCCATCTCCCAATCCTCAAGAGATCTCACAAACCACACATACCAAGTCGTGCTTCTGCTATCAAGGTTATAACAGCAGCTACCAATACATAACCATCTAAAGATATCCTGAACAACCTTGAGAAAACATTTTCTATTGACCTATCCCCACACCATTTATTAGCCCAAAACCTAAACTACCTCCCAGACCTCACCCTAAATCGGGTATGTTTGAAAATTTCAATTACCTCTCCCCCCCAATCCAAGAATAAAGTTGAAATCACAAGGGGCTAAAATTTGTTGTCTTACCTTTGTAATTAGTGGCCAAATTTAACTACATAGCAAAATTTCGCTCTCTTCTAGTAACGTTCAGTGATTTCCAACAAAATAGATTCCTATTTATAGGTTTTATAATTGTAAAACTTTACCGAACTACTTACCCAGAAAAGACAAAGTTGTAGAACTGCACAAACCCAACATTAAAAGTAACACAACGACAATATAGTAGCTCGGAGCCATTATCCTTTGTGCAGTGGTAAAAGGTCAAGCTGTTAATGTGTAACCATTGTTTTAAGGATAAGAATAACCACTTTATTTATATTAACGTGAAAGGTTTGATTTGCATCCAACATGCCTTTCCAACACCTTACAATGGTGGCTAAGCGATAGCCTTTTTAATTCTAAAACCATAGCGACTTTACAAGCAAGAAGATAAAACAATGTTTATTTGCATAATTCTACATTAATATAAGTTCCATTTTATTTAGGTGTAAATGGTACATTCACACACAAATTTTTGCATCTAGCAAGGTCCAATTTGTCAATCAAATGACCATGCAAATGTCACGTTAGCGTGTAAAGGATAAAGCAAGAGTAAGGAGTAGGGATGGCAACGGGGCGGGTTTGGAGCGGGTTTCCCTAAATCCCGCCCCGCCCCTTTTAATTTTTGTCAAGTCCATGCCCGTCCCGAGACCTGCGACGGGTTGGATTTTCATATCCAACCCCGCCCCGTTAAGAAATACTGTGCCCCCGTACCCGCCCCACTAACAAATTTTTTTCTCCCACTTTTTGGAACTTAAACTCCTGCTATTTAAATGTGCAAAGCCTAGGAATGACACAACATAAATAAAATTATGTATCCTAATAAAAATAAAAAAAATAACATGCACATAATATAATTCAGAGAACATAATAAACAAAAATAAAAGTTTAATACAATCAAATCACAAGAAGTTTTAAGCTCCAACTTCCACCATAACCAAAACAAAAGCAAATTTAATACCAAGTTTACATCCCAAAATAGGATTGTAAGAAATGGGTAATTGGGTAAGCCGCTAAAATAACTTATTAATATATATATATATATATATATATATATATATATATATATTAAATATAGTTATATGCGGGGCGGGGCGGGGCGGGGCGGGGCCCCTAGGATATGTATATTGAACCCTTACCCGCCCCGTGACCCTCGACGGGTACAAAATTTGTATCCATGTCCGCCCCAACGGTATAACAAGTGTTCCCATATCCGTTATTAACGGAGCGGGACGGGGCGGGGCCCCGGCGGGGTGGTAAAAATTGACATCCCTAGTAAGGAGGGAATCTCGTGTTCATTTTTGGATAAATTACACTAGCACCCTTTTAGGTTAGGTCAAATGTCATATACATAAACATTTTGAATTTAACTTTTACTCATTCTATCTAAAAATAAGGTGTGAAATATCATTTATGCCCTCATTTATTTAATAAATTTTTTATAGATTTTTTACGCCCTTAATTTTTAAAAAAAAATATCTCATATATATATATATACATAGGGTCGTGAGAGAGGGACCGATGATTTTGACCGACTTCTTTGACAGAATCTACATGGCAGTCCACCTAGCATCTAACTTACCAAAAAAACAAAAAATCTATTTTGCTTCTTCCCTCCTCAGTTGACGTCGATTTCACCTTCTTGAGGAGTCCGGCGTGACCTGCAAGACTGCAAACCCAAACCTTCATCATCACCAAGGGCAACCCACAACCTTCCATCACCACACCACAATCACCTTCTGAACCAAATCAATTTTTGTCATACAAACCACAACCAACCAAACAAAACCCAAAACCATCACCACCCATCACTACAATCAACCCAAAACTTAATCCCAAGAATTGCAAATCCATCACCACCGATTTGTTGTTTTCAGTTTTTTTTTTTTTTTTTTTTACCTATCACTATATGTATATAAATATATAAGTACAATATTGAAGCAGGAGTTTTGGAGAAAAAAAAAAAAAACTACAGTGAACAGGCGCCGGAATCCTCTTTGGTCGCCATCATCCGAAGCCGTAGTTAACAGCCATCGCCGGAATCGTGACTTTACTCGTCGCTGTCCCTGTTACCGCCAGAATCCTCTCTAGCCCGAGAATCAGACCTTGCTCGCCGGCCGCAGTTCCTATCTCTCCACCGACCGTCTCCATTTGCACTAGACCGTCTCCACTGACCGGCTCCATCCGAGCCCGTCTTCATCCTTGCCGTCCATCTCACCGTCATCCCTCCCTTCGCCGGAATAACGACTTCTCTAGTCGTTGCTGTCGCCGCCATTGGGCCATTCTTCCATCGTCGTCAGTGGGGTCTTCTTTTGCTCATGGTCATTCCAGCCCCGCTGTCGACCATTTGCTCACTGCCATCACCACATCATCGAGGTTGCCGTCCTCCAAGTTCTCTACACCGTGTTGCTCGACGGACTCTGTGCAGCAACGTCCTTGTGCCGTCGATCTCACAGACCCCATACGAAAAAAATGGGTTTGTTGGAAAGAGAAAGAGAGAGAAGAGAGAGGAGAGAGAAATTAAGCATTGACAACTGGACAGCCACGTGTTTCTGCCTAACAAATCTGTCAAAATAATCGGCCCAACTATCATTTTCCATTTTCCATATATATATAGATACACACAACGTGATTATTATTATTATTATTTTGAGTTTTTTTTTTTCCTTTTTTATTTTCTCTCCTCTCTTTCTCTCTCTAACCTCTCTGTAGACAACAGGAATTACAGAGCAACCCAAACCTCTACTCCTCTGCCATTCTCTCTCTGCAGACGAGGAATTACAGACCAACCCAAACCTCTACTCATCTGCCATTAACGCTCTGCTCGAGCCGAAACCTAAAGCGGCAAAATCCTCTCCACCGACACTTGCCTCTCCACCCTCTCTCATCACCTCACCAACTTCAAATCCATACTCGACAAGTTACAATAATCTCGAGGCCTCAGTCGTTCCTCACTCGCCGAGTCACCACCCACAAGATCTCCCAAGTCGTCGGCTCTATCGAGTCGGAGATCCAAGACTGGATCGATCGCCAAAGCATCGAGAATCTGATTCGATTCAACAATGATGTGTTCGAGGGATAAGTGTTGATGGGTCAAACAATTCAAGCCCTAAAAGTTTTCTCATCAAGAGTCCATTAGTGGATGAATTTGAATGGAATTGTGACATTCCCAAAATTATATTATATATATATATATATATATATATATATATATATATATATGTTGAGAAAATGCTGAAAAGAAAATGTTGTAAACCAAAATTTGGATTCTGAGAAATTGGGAACCTAAATTGGATTATGTCTAATGAAATGCACTGATTGGCTTGAGTTTAATTCTTCAAACACAGAGTTGTTACTCTATACTTCTCTTATGCTTGAGAGTTAAAAGCTACAAATGTGACAGAGAGCAATTGCATGGCTCTCGCAATATATCTCAACCTATCGTGGACTCGATTCAAACATTTATGATTACTAATTTATAACTTAGTATTAATTGCCATTACATACACATATAAATTATATCTTGTAATCAAGTGGACACAATCAATTTCATAATGAATCGAAAAAAAAAAAAAATACATTCCATTCACCCATCGTATAATGCCTTAATAAAATAATAAAAAAATATCAAAAAAATACATTCCATTCACCCATTGTATAATGTCTTAATAAAATAATAAAAAAATATTCAGATAAGGAACCATGATTTTTACAATCCAAATAAGAATTTGCTATGCTAGGGCACACATATCCCAACATTAAAAATAAGAATTTGCTATGTGTAACTGTGTTTCCTTTTAATTTGTTGTCAACTAATGTCCAGTAAAATAGGTTTGGCTTGTATGTCTTCTTTTTATTTCATGAATAGAGTGGATTGAGTTTAATGGGTACTATTAAAATTACTCTTAAGAATCGCGCGTGCATGTTTAACGGCTAAGGACTAAGATTCTCTCCCTTAGAGGGCTCTCACATGCACCAAAACTACCAAAATTACATCATTTTGATTCACAGAGCTCAAAAAAGGTTGCACGAAACCCCAACACGAAACTTGAGTTGGGCTCGATCTGTGCTTGTGCATAACCCTTATTCTTTTGCATAGAAAAAAGGAGAAAATACTATTTGATCTAAAGACTCATTTATGAAATTATAGTGTATGTGAAATTGTAACTTAAGAGATTTGAGAAACTGTAGTGCATGTGAAATTGTAACCTAAGGGAATTGAGCTACCACTAATTTAGCCCTATATGTTCACATATAGGGTTAAGATCAGCGCATGAAAGTCATATTAAATGGTCCGCGCTATTTTGACAGGCATGAAAGTCTCGTGACTTTATTAAAGTTATAGTACAAATTGATCATATTTTGACTTTGGTTTTTGTACATTGTGTAGTTGATTTTTTTTCAATATATGCTTGAGGACTGATATCATTATGAGTTCAGAAATATGAACCACGCCAATTTTCACTTACTACTACAATTATTGGACTTTTGACTCTAAATTATTATCTTATATTTTATTGTGATTGTTTAGACCCGGAAACAACTAGCCACCTAAATTTGTTAGTGTAGTCTCGCTCTTTCAATCTAAATATGTAATTTTCACAATAAGAGTAGGGGAGGGGTACTGATTTACTTATTACTCTACATTCACAACAAGAGTAGGGGAGGGGTACTGAGTTTCATTGTAAATGTAGAGTAATAAGTAAATCTATAGCGACCCCATCAACAGTCATCTGCCTTCTTAATATAAAGCCTACTTCACTGACAAATCTCCTTCATAAGAAGAACACGTCTATGTCTATGTATGTCTGTCTGTCTCTCTCACACACAAACACACACAGTTCATCATCAATACACCAGTGTTCTCCAACAGCTTGATTATTTTCTGAGCAATCAAAGTCACAGCCATGACTGAAAAGGTTTGTGAATCTTGTAGTTCTCCCTCTATTTATATATTACGTACCCATTTGATTATATGCATAAAATTGTTCTGAATTAATTCAATTTTCCTTCCTGCAATGTAAATTATAGGTTACAACAATGATACTACATGTCGATCTTCAGTGCTCTTGCTGCTACAAGAAGATCAAGAAAATACTATGTAAATTTCCTGGTGAGTCCCTATATACGTACCTGCCTGATCACATATATATTCCTATAAACACTGACACACACACACACACACACACATATATATTATACTACATATATACACATTTCCTCATCATCAATTCATCACAATTAATACTGAAAAGATGAATGGTGCCCAACTTAATTCTTATATATTAAATCCTTATATAATTTATTGATTTTAAGAACTGAGTCTAACTTTTTTGTGATGTTAAATGATGTTTGGGACATTGAGAGATTCGAGACCAGGTGTATGACGAAAAAAAAAATACGGTGAAGATTACCGTAATATGCTGCAATCCCGAGACAATTCGTGACAAGTTATGCTGCAAGGGAAGAAAGTCAATCAAGTGTATTGAGATACCGCCGCCGCCGCCGCCGCCGCCGCCGCCGCCAAAGCCAAAGCCGACGCCGACGCCGCCGCCGACGCCGCCGCCGACGCCTCCGCCGCCGCCGACGCCGCCACCGCCGCCGCCGCCACCGAATAAATGTATCCCGATCCAAGTGTGTTGTGGGCCATGTTATCATGGGTTTGGAAGGACGACACCACCACCACCACCTTGTTATTATCCCCCAAGAATACCATGCTATTGCTATGGAAGACCATGTTACATGACTAGTTGTGATTGCTACACAGTAGGTAATCCATCAGAACGCACAATCATGTGACCATGGTGCACTGGGTGGTCATTGTTGTTAGGGTCCTGATCATGCTCATTAAATGTCCAATTTTTTTTTTTTTTTTTTGGTGACAATGTGGTTTTGTTTACGAGAGTGAGTGCTAGTAAATTTCTGTGTGCCTCAAAATAAATTTCATTTTAAAAAGTCAATATAACAAAATTAAATATCTTTGGGATCATATTTAAAATATGAAAAGTTTTTCAAATTGTTAACCATAGCACCAGGGACGTACTTTGCATACATGTGGTCCTGTGGAATCTCTTTAAACTGTTGCCGCTCTGAAATTACTAATCACTTAATGGTCTGGTCCTTCCCTGATGATTTGCCCACAAATTCATTACAAGAATGGAATTTGCTTACCGTGAATATTAAGTTATATATAATAGAAATATAGAATGCAATAGTAAATAAAGAGTAATTTTTTTTTTTTTTTTCAAGACTCAAGTGAAGCAAGATTGTACAATAATGTATCTAACGGAGAGAATTTTTCTGTCTATCTCTGTATTCCTGATATCCAAGCCATCAATAGGGTTAGCTAGGGCATTTATAACACGACCCAAATAGGCCTCCCGATTGAGTCTAAACTATTGATTAGTAAAGCAGTCATATTTTCTTTGCCTAAAGGTGAATTTAATTTAGCAGCTCTTTCTAAAAAGGCTTGAATGCAAATAAAAAACATCTCCAGAATAAGTTTCGCAACCAGACAGTCTTACAAAGAGTGATGGAATAATATACTTGTATCACGGTTATGTGTACGTAATTGAACAACTTATTATTTTGAGAGTGAACAAATTATTTTAAAATTTAATTTTTAATATGTTGATTCTCAAAATAAGTTATTCATGTGACCATGGTGCACTGGGTGGTCACTGTTGCTAGGGTCCTGACCATGCTCATTAAATGCCCAAATTTTTTGTGGCATGTGGTTTTCTTTTCACTTTTTTATGAGAGTATGATTGGGTTGAGAGATGAGCATGATAAATGTGTCTAATCTTTTGTGGGGAATTTTTTTTTTTTTTTTTTTTGGACTAGCAACGGAACAAACTGGGGTAGGGTTCCTTCGGGACCCATCCCAGACTACAAACTGGAAATGTTATCAACGGCCCTACACTTCAACAACAATTTCAATTGAGGGTTATAATGGTGATGAACAGGTTCGAAGCTGGGACATTAGTGTTCCTAAATCGTTACCTTACCAACTCGATCAAGCCCGAGACTACTCTTTTGTGATTGAGAGGCACTAACTTTACAAAAAGTTGTGTTGACCCCATTTATTAGACCAATTGATGTTGCCATTAGTGTATTCCATATATTAGTACATGCCTTTTGCGATAACTTTTTTCTTATTGTATTCATTTTCTCTATGAAATTGTGATGCCTATGCAATGCTGTTTGGTAACACAAAATAAAATAAATAATTATATTCTCCATTATCTTTGTGTCGTCCACTAATGCGCAATAATTTTTATATTGGTCTACTATTGTCATGATCAAACAGCCAATAGATATTGATGTGTGTGCGCTCGCGAGTGTTAGTACTAGTAATTATTGCACTCTAAGAAAATAAATAAATAAAGATTAAAAAAAAAAAAAAAAAAGTGAAAAAAAGTTAAGTACTAGTAGTATTGAGGTTAGTAGTGACAGAAATAATTGTCACTGAAGCTCAAGTTTTCGTCACTATATCTCTTTAGTGACGACACTTGTTTTGTCATAGGTATACTTTTAGTGAACTCTCCTTTGCAATGTTGAGGACAAATATGATATTGTATATGAATCAATGACGATCAATTGTTGTAAATATAGACTAGGACGATCTTCTTTTGTCACTAAAATCTTTTTGTGATTAATTTTTATATTATTAGCACCATTTGGTTTAATTGCTAAATGCCCTTATAAGACTCAAAACTACCACCCAATTAAATTTCTATACTAAATTATATTCATTTCAACACAAAAATTGAAACAATGTTGAATAAAACATCAAATATAATTACAAAATTGTATTACAATATTCGATTTGATTACAAAAGAAAACTAACTCCCCAATTCCCCAGTTGTACAACACAAATTCAAACTAACAAGTAAAAAATAAACTCTCATTCCTTTAAAAAAAATAAAAATCTCTCATGCCTTTGTATTAGTCTTCTAAAATCTTAAAATTCTTCAAACTGTTTTTGACTTTCTGCACTTAGCCTTTGAATACAGTAATTCCGCACCAAGCCACTCCAGAAGCTGCAACAAAATTGAATTTTTTTTTTTTTTAGTAAATGGAACAATGGGGTCTGTGAAAGTCAAACTTCAAAAATTAAATAATACTCTGTATTTTCTAAGCAATTAATTTTGATTAAAATAAATTCCTTAAAAAAGATGCATATTATCAACATGAAAAATGAAATAACAAATGCAAGAATTATTTATCTAAGTGGTCATCTCAACAAGTTCTTGGAAGTAACCTCATTGTTCGGGCTGCCCATTGCTTGCATTGAATTTCAGTTAGCACCGAGTTTCCTGAGAAACATCAAAAATCTCAATTATTACTTCTGTAAAACAAACACTAAGCAAAGAATATTTATCACACAATAGGCTTACATGAAAGGTAGTACGTCCTAATCCAAATTCTTTAAATAAGCCAATTGTTGATAGAACACCAGAGGAATATATAACAAAAAGAATATATAACTTAGCAAAAAGATAAGAATGAAATAAAACAAGATACATATACTAATGGCTAAACTGATCCAACAAAGATGAAACAAAAAAGCAAACTATCAGATGAAAGATTTGAAACTAAAAAATAAAATATACATCATCTACATATCAGCTGACAAAAAAAAGGGCATAATTTTAAGAATCCCCTCCAACACACATATTCATTTAAACCCATAAATAAATAAATAAATAAATAAATAAAAATATGAAGAAGAAGAAGAAGAAGAAGTGGAAAGGGGACGAATTCATTTTATCATTCTTTCAATGTTTCTAAGACAAAAATTGTTGACTTCCAAAAAAGAAAATTAAAAGGTTGGTGTTACAGAATATATAACTTCAACCACATGGGTAAACTAATAATATCTAGGATAGGGATAGGGATGGCAAAAGTTTGCACGACTTGTCACCACGATTCGAACACGACACGAGTTAAATGAGTTTGGGTTGACTTTAAACGGGTTCAGGTCATAAACGGGTTGATACGATTAATTCATTTAGTTAATCGTGTCGCATTTAAGTTGAGGGGTTCAACCCGTGTAACTCGTTTATACACATTTAACTATATATATATCGTAAATAAATTTCTGTTTAAGTTTTAAAATTACTATATAAACTTATGTCTTATAATTTAATCTTTTGTAAACTATAAACTATTTAGTAATTTGGTTGATTAAAATTTATATTTTTTTAGTATTTATTATGTTATTGAGTATTATTAATAATTTAAATAACATAATTTATTTATTTATTATTATTATTATTATTATTTTTTATGAATAGGTAATTAAACGGGTTACATGTGTAACCCGTTTAATAAACAGGTCGTGTTAGTGTTGAGAGTTTTCGATTATTAAACGGGTCATGTTTGAGTTGAGCTGTTTAGTATAATACCCTTAAGTTGACACGGCACGATTACGACCCACGAACACGAATTGTCACCCCTCATAGGGATCAATTTCTACACATAATGATTAATCTTTGGGAAAAGAATCAATTCCAAAACCACAAATTATTTATGGTTGATGATTTAGCTTGGATGAGGGAAAATAATTCGAATTTTGCAGTCAGAATTGTTATGAGGATGATCTAGAGGAAATTTGAGAGATCTGAGATAAACGTATAGAAAGAATGAGACTCCATCAAATCACACTAAGGCCTAGTTTGGTGTGATGGAATGGGGGTGGAATGGAATGACCATTCCACTTTCTCATTCCTTTCTCTTGTTTGGTGTGCCACTTTAAAAGTGGAATGGGTGCTCATTCCAGCTTTTAGATGGAATGACCATTCCTCTTTTGGACTTGTGGAATGGTCATTCCATTCCCACTAAATTAAAATAATAAAATTTAAAGACCAAAAAAAAACCATACACATGGCAGACTCTCTGTCCATCTCTCCTCTTTCATTACGCGATTGTACACCCTCTCTCTCTCCTCTTTCTCTCTTCACATTTCACTGTATACCATGGAATATATATATATATATATATATATATATATATATATATATATATATATATATACCATAAGCACCCAGGATAAATAACTGATAATGAACTATGAGAGAAACAGAATATTGAAAAGGTTAAATAATCAACGAAATAATGAAATAATATATGGAAATATGCAAGTTAATAATAAACAATAGAACATGAATAACTTTGAAGAACTTTTGATTAAAACATGGAACTTACAACTTTGATCTTTGAATACAACACTTTTGTTCTGAGCCGAGCTCCTTGGATGAAGTAAAACAAAAAACTTAAACTTAAAAATCACAATTTGAACTGAGAACTTTTGAAATGGAAACTAAGAATTACACTTGAAATGAGCCTGCCTCCAATGTCTTGAGGAGCTGTTATTTATAGGGCCTCGAAGGAGCCTTGGGGAGCTTTGGATTCCTTGGTGATAAGGATGCAGCAGGAGGCCATGTGCAAAGCCTGAAAGGCTGATTTGAGGTGATGTCTTCTGATTGATGCTGGAAGCCATGTTCAAAGCCTGAAAGGCTGAATTGAGGTGATGGCCACTGACTTGCCTTAGATTCCTTTTTTGAAATGCTTGTCTGTCATGAACACCGAAAGGTGCTAAAAGACTGAAAATGGAGAACTGTTGAATAAAATTTTAAACTGTAGATTTTCCCTTCTTTTTTTTCTTTTTTTTTCTGTCGCTATGCAGCGGCATTGAATGACTGAGGTTAGAAACTTTTTTGAAATGAAATGATGATTTTGAGAATATTGTTTACTGGAGTTGTTGGGTACTTATGGTATCAGAGCCATCAGGTGGTGATTAAGCCCATTTAACCTTCTACATTTCTGTTTCTGGACCTAGATCCCGTTTAGGCTAGGTGTGCCGCTTTGGGTTGGTCGGACGGACGGTCATTTAGGTAAGGTTCAATGAGTTTTTTCAACCGTAGCATGTCCTCACTTCTCTTAGAGAAAGAGTGATAGTTAACCAAGAAGAACAGCATATTGATAGTGGTCAGAATGATCAATAGGATACTTGGAATATACCCAAGGTTCCCATTAGGGATATTTACAAATCTTCGACTTTCAACCTCAAAATAGGATACTCCATCAAAACTATTGAACAAACTATTTCTCTCAAAAACCCTTTTGAAGTCATCCAACTTTTGCAAAAAAGAGCCATAGTAGAACACAAAAAGAAGAACAAATTCCTACATATAGGGCTTGTCCAAGTTGCAGTTAAACCTCTTACCTCAAGGGGACTTAACACTGCTATCATGCTTACTCTAAGGGATTGTAGGCATCTCGATTTTGAAACCTCTTTGTTAGGAGTTTGCCAAACTAGTCTTTTTGATGGCCCACAATACTTCAATTGTTTTCTAAATTATTCAGTAGCTCTTGATGATCTAACAATCCTCCATACTTTAATCCTCAATGTCTCAAGTAGTGGTTATAAAATGATGGATGGAGCCATACCCTTCAATGTTGTCTATAGAATCCACTACAAAGTCTATACAACCCAAGTCAGCCCTCATGCTCTTCGTGAGTCTCCCAAAGGAGAAACCCTTCTTCTTCATGCTAGTGACGAAAATTCACAAACTTATGTTCCAAAAACCATCACTTGGAATGAAATCACCTTTCCGGGAGAGTGGACTCTCGAGCATGCAGCTCCTCCTTCAAAGATCGAGAATAAAAGGTTGGAACAAATATCTCAATTTTCTGATGGCACGGTAAAGGTTAGATTTAATTCTAACAGGCCCAATAGACTTACTATCCAAGAAATAGAAAGACCTAGACCTTTTATCCAAAAAATAGAAAGACCTAGATCCTCTTTTTCTCATGCTACTCATATAAACTATTCAAAAGCCCCTTCCCGAAAATCATTTTCAGGAATGCCTATAAGGTATCCAAACCTCGTTGGTGTCAAAAACAAAGAAGTTGCTAACCCAATTTACCAGGACAATGTTAGCATACAAATTGAGGAAGAAGACATCCATCCTCTTCGCAACACTCATTTACCTACCCAAATTAGTTCTCAAAACAAAGGTCTGCAAAACCCTCCCCTAAACGAAGATCATCATGATTCCCCTCCATCCCCAAATGATTCTCAATTTGAAGACCCCGATCATCAGGTTCATCAGCTCTACATGATAGAAAAGGTTTATGAGATCGATAAAGACTTCTTACGCAAAGATTTCTACTCTGCGATTAATGATTCCAAAAGACAATGGTATTTCCAAACCTTTTCTGCTCAAAAAACCATCCTTATTAGAGAAGAGTGGTATGCTTTCTGCATACAACACAAGTTCTCAGACCCTTTCTTCCCATGGTTTGAAAAATATTGTCTCAACAACAATATTGATTTTCCTTTCTCCACAATCAAATCCTTAAATGTCACAACCAAATCCACCATTACCTGGCAAACATCACGTGGTAAGGCTCTTGAAGCCATCCATCCCCCAGCCGAGGCAATCGAATTCAAGACAAAGGCGTCAGGAACAGTCACATTTACTGCTTCTCCTTTCAAGACAAAGGCAGTCGCCAATGACAATACCACATCCACAACCCGTGATGTCCGAAGCATCATGGAACAAAATAACTACACAAACCAACACCTCCAGACACTTGGCGATCAGCTTTCTAGTGTGAAAACCTTGCTTCAGAAAGAACAAATTATCCCCATTCAATCTGATAATGCTCCCCCTTTCATACCCCATCAAATCCCCTTACACTTGTCTAAACAACTATCAAAACGTAGTGCCATTGAAGAAGCACAGGACAGGATTAAGCGTATCGAATCCCTTATGACCTCCACAACTACGATTCCTGATACGCCTAAAAGACCTCTTAGAGTCATCAATACTCTTGACCAAGAAATTGGTATTGATACTGAAACTGATGAAATTACTGAGGTCTTCCGGAACCAACACGTCAATACTTTAGAACCAATTTCTTCTCGAAACTATTATCCCAGGCCAACTTTCCCTGACCTCCAGATCGAAGAACGAGGCCAGTTTTCCCAAGCTGCTTATCATGGTGGTACCATTTATGAATGGAATATAGATGGCAAAACTGAGTATCACATTCTCAATACACTTCAAGAAATGACAATGGTCAGCACTGCTTACAAAACCAAGAATGACTCTTCTGATCATGCTATAACACAACTCCTAGTAGGAGGATTCACAGGCCAACTCAAAGGATGGTGGGACAACATCCTCACTCCAGATAAACGACAAGCCATTCTTAACTCTGTTAAAATAACTCCTGAATGAACAATTATCAAAACAGAAGAAGGTGCAGATATAGAAGATGCAGTTGCTACTCTCATTTTCTCTATCGCCAAACAATTCCTCGGTAACCTCTCAATTGTTAGAGACAAGACCTCAGAAATTCTAGCCAACCTTCGATGTCGTAAACTTCAGGATTTCAGATGGTACAAGGATGTCTTCCTCTCAAAGGTCCTCACCAGGACTGATTGTAACCAAGTCTTTTGGAAAGAAAAGTTCATTACTTGACTCCCCAATCTTTTTGTTGAGAGAATTCACAAGCATTTCAGATCAAAACACAATGGCCATATTCCTTATGACTCCCTCACCTATAGTGACATCATCAGTACCATCACAGCTGAAGGAATTGCTCTCTGCACGGATTTCAAATTCCAACAGCAAATCAAGCATGAGAATGCCACTAGCAGAAAGGAATTAGGAACTTTTTGCCAACAATTCGGCTTCGAAAACCTAACCCCTCCTTCCAAACGAAAAAGTCACACCCGCTACCGAAAGCCTTTTCCCAAGAGATACGAAAACAGGTCACGGTATAACAAGAACAAACCCTCCTTTGTAGATAAATATCTCTCTTCTGAGAAAAATAGACAGAAAAATGCCATTCCTCCAAAATATTTTCAAAAGAAACCTGCCACCTCAAAAGCAGATATAAAATGTTTCAAGTGTGGCAAGATGGGTCACTACAAACGCGATTGTAGAGCCAAACAGAAGATCAATGAGCTCGATCTCCCTGAAACCATCAGGAGCCAACTGATGCAAATTCTTTTAAACTCTTCAGATGAAGAATCCGAACATGATATCAATGGTATTCAAGAAGATGACTATCATGCTGATACAGATTATAATTCTGATTCTTCTAACCCATCTTTGGATGACCAACCTATCAAAACCAAATGCATCTGTATCATTACTAAGGACCAAGAATTCATGTTGGAACTCATTGACAAAATAGAAGATCTTGATCAGCACAAGGAATGCTTGATTAAATTCACCAATAGCATTGGCTAAAGAAATGACAAAGCTCCCGTTATTATACCAAATACTTACAACCTTACTAATATCTTTGAAAGATTTGGTACACAACCCCAGATGCCAATTACAATTCAAGATCTCCATAAAGAAATCAAACAAACCAAGCAATAGATTTCACTCCTAAAGCAAGAGGGCAAGGCTTTGAAAGATTCCACTGCTCATGATATTCTTACCCTTAGAAGCCAAATTCTTTTTCAACAATCCCAGATAGATGCTTTACTACCTAAGTCCTCTGCAAAACTTGAACAACAAGTTTCTGAAAATCCCACCAAGGACAATGAGACTTATATCAACCTTCTGACCCAGATAACATTTCAGAAATGGCATGTTAATCTAAAAATTGTCATCAACAAAGACTATACCATTCATACAATGGCTCTCATTGACTCTGGTGCTGATCTTAATTGTATCAATGAAGGACTTGTCCCTACGAAATACTTTGAGAAAACCAAAGAATGACTTCAAGGTGCTAATGGTTCACAACTCACTGTTCAGTACAAGTTAACCAAAGCCCATGTTTGTAATCAGGGTCTTTGTATTAAAACACCTTTCATCCTTTTCAAAGACCTCAATACCCCTGTTATTTTGGGAACTCCATTTATTTCTCTTCTTTACCAGTTCAAAGTTGATAGCCAAGGCATTTCAACAAGTTTAGTTGGACAAGAAATTTGTTTTCCTTTTGCTCATCCTATAAACACCAAGGATCTCAATACCATTAAGGATTCCTATGTTACTCAGGTCCCTGCTGTCAACAGGATTGAGAGCAAAACAAAGCATTTAGACTTTCTCAAATAAGAACTAATCTTCAAACAGATTGATGAATGACTCAGTCAAAAAAGTCTCCAAGACTCTATTCAAAGGTTCAGATTAAGACTTGAAAGTCAGGTTTGCTCTGATCTCCCAAACGCTTTTTGGCACAGAAGACAACACATTGTTGAATTACCTTATGAAAAATCTTTCAATGAAAAGGATATTCCTACCAAAGCCCATCCTAGCCAAATGAGTCAAGAACTTCTTGATTACTGTATGAAGGAAGTACAGGAATTATTGAACAAATCTCTCATCCGAAAAAGCCGTTCCCCATGGAGCTGTGCCGCTTTCTATGTCCAAAAGAATGCTAAAATAGAAAGAGGTGTTCCCAGATTAGTTATCAATTACAAGCCCCTCAATGAAGTTCTTCAATGGATCAGGTATCCCCTGCCCAATAAAAAGGACCTAATCCAACGTCTCGTTCATGCAACCGTTTTTTTAAAGTTTGATCTCAAGTCAGGATTCTGGCAAATCCAAATTGCTAAAAAAGATAGATACAAAACAGTTTTCACGGTTCCTTTTGGCCATTACGAATGGAATGTGATGCCTTTCGGATTAAAAAATGTCCCTTCAGAATTCCAAAAAATTATGAATAATATTTTTATTCATCTTACGAATTTTTCAATTGTTTATATTGATGATATACTAATATTTTCTTCTTCTATAGATGCTCATTGGAAACATCTCAATGTATTTGCTTAAACCATCAAGCATAATGGATTAGTCCTTTCTTTATCAAAGTTAACCTTGTTTCAGACCAAGATTAGGTTCTTAGGTTTTCAGATCCACTAAGGAACTGTCATCCCAATCAACAAATACATCCAATTTGCTGATAAATTCCCTGATGAAATTAAAGACAAAACCCAGCTTCAAAGATTTTTAGGGTGCCTAAATTATCTCTTTGAGTTTTTCAAGGATCTTTCTCTTCTTTGTGCTCCACTACGCTAAAGATTAAAAAAGTCCCCTCCCCCATGGTCCGATGAGCATACAAAAACAGTCAGAATCCTTAAAAGCAAAGCAAAAAACCTTCCTTGCCTATCTATTGCTGATCCAGAAGCCTTCAAAATTGTGGAAACTAATGCCTCTGAATTAGGATATGGAGGTATCCTAAAACAAAAAACAGGTGACAAGGAACAACTAGTTCAGTTCGCCTCTGGCACATGCATCCAAGCACAACAAAATTACTCTACAGTCAAAAAGGAAATTTTATCTATAGTTTTATGCATTTCAAAATTTCAAAGTGATTTACTAAATCAAAAATTTTTAGTTCGTGTTGATTGCCAATCTGCAAAAACTGTTTTAAAGAAAGATGTTCATAACATAACCTCAAAACAAATTTTTGCCCGATGGCAAGCTATTCTTTCTGTATTTGACTTTGATATTGAATATATAAAAGGAGAAAACAATTCTCTTCCTGATTTTCTCACCATGGAATTTTTACAGGGAAAAGTAGGAGCTTAAGGGCGGTTACTATGCCTCCCAAGACAAGTAGAGGAGCCTTAGTTGCAAGAACAAAACCCCACAAAACAAAAGATGCATATACACAATCATCCTCTTCTCAGAACCCTTCCAAAAAAACCTGGTATGATAAAGTTGAGGAAGATGAAGAAGCTATGTGTGCTAGTCCATCTCCATTAATTACAAACCAGTTTTCAGCCCTAACCACAATTCCCCAATATGTCATAGACATGTCCCCAATCCAGTATGACCCCATCTAAACATACTTACAATCCCAACAACCAATTTTTCCTCCCCTTCAAAAAACTTATGCTGCAATTTCTTCAGCATCAGATAAACAAATTTCCTCAAGATCCGTTTCACAGCAAGTGGTGGTCAACAATCACTCTCTCAAAAAATCTCGTTATTTTCAAAAACCAAATTCATCAACCATTGGTGTGGTTGAAAAAGAACTTTTTAACCAAAACCCAATTTTACTTTCTCAAAATCATTTTGTTAAATGTTTTCATTATCCAACATCAGATTTTCGGAAAACACAAAATTTTTATGAGTTTATTTTAGTGGACACTGATTCCATCAAAATTCGAACTCATTCAAAACCAGGTGATGAGTTTTTCATTTCTCACACCACATGTACCATTCAAAAAGTCCATATATATATATATATATATATATATATATATATATATATATATATATATATCTCCCTCTCTGATTCAAAAGATGCAATTGTTGAAGATTTTGTTATTAAAACTTTCAAAAAATGTTGCCGAAGAAGATGATCGGAAAATTCGTCAGGCGAGTGAGACGCCTCCCCTCTGTTCGATCACCTTCCAATTCATCTTTATCTTGGGAATTTAGTAAAGAAATTCGCACTTTCCAGACGACGATGATGTTGATAATGTTGAGATTGATGGTGATGTTGGAGATAGTTTGGGGCTAGAGATCATTTGAACAAGAGGAAGACAATCCATAACCACTCTTTCCTAGTTTCATGTTTGGTAAGACGCCTCTGACGATTGGGCAAAGAAGCAAGACGAACTGGAGCCCTAATTTGCCAAGTCTTCAACCTCATCCTTCCTTTTCAATTATTTTTTTTCATCTATTTTCTCTTTTTATTTTTTAAGATGTTAATTTTTTTAGTTATTTTTTTTTTGCTAATAATAAAATATAATTTAAAGAAACAATATAAATTCATTATATTACAACTTTCTTACCAAATAGTGGAATAAGAATGAGCATTCCATTTTTATACATTCCATGTTTGCAACTAAACGGTAGAATAAGAATCATCATTCCTATTCCATTCCATTCTCATTCCATTCCAATTCATTCCACCATACCAAACCAGCCCTAAGTTGCCGCGTCTATACATAGATATAATCGTTAAAGAGTACAAGGAAGTACATCTAATGCTTAACCATAAATATATATATATATATATATATATATATATATATATATATATAATTTTGTGGAGCTTAAGCTACTCAATCCTGTTATAGATACTTTTAGTTCATGTAAGAAAACTCAAATTGTATTCACTCTATAATTAGATCCTTGACATAAATTGCTTTTATATCCTCTCCAGCGCCATATCACTCTCAATCTTTTTACATTTTATCTTCATTTCATCTTGGTCTAGAAGTTGGTTGCAGCTTTAAATTATGTTATTTTGGATACTTTCATCATGACATGTATTTTAATTTCTTCAACAAATAAACATCCTCGATCAAATAAGGATTTTAAATGGGTTCACGGAGCACACCGAAAATTTTACTTAGTAAGTATTTACAATGGAGAGCTCTTACAAAAAAGAACAAAGGGACATTTGTAAAACAAACACTAAGGAAAGAATATTTATAACATAATAGGCTTACATAAAAGGTAGTACGTTCTAATCCAAATTCTTTAAATAAGCCAATTGTTGGTAGAACACCAGAGGAATATATAACAAAATGAATATATAACTTAGTAAAAAGATAAGAATGAAATAAAACAAGATAGGTATACTAATGGCTAAACTGATCCAACAAAGATAAAACAAAAAAGCAAATTATCAGATGAAATATTTGAAATAAAAAAATAATTTATACATCATCTACATATCAGATGACAAAAAAAAAAAAAAAAAAAAAAAAAAAAAAAAAAAAAAAGGCATAATTTTAAGAACCCCTCTGTAGGTGCAAAATTTCGCTCAACCAATAATGATTGAGAAAAATAAAACAACTCACTCAAAAAAACAATAATAATAAATAAGAACTATGTATAGAGAAGCGTAGAATTGCTTGATCCTTTTATTGGAGGTCTAGGCCTCTATTGATACATAAAAATTGGTAGAATTAAGGTAGGACTTGCGTTGCTTGTCCTCCAATTCTTCCCATACATGAATTTCTTTACAAATAGAGTTCTTTCTATTGTACAATATTTCCTACACAGAACTTGCCTTGTATAGGACTTCCTATCAAAGAATTCTTTTTTTATGGTAAATCCTTCTACCGATAGGACTTGTTCAATCTTGGACAACTGGGCTGAATATACCTTAAACCAGTTGGGCTTGAATAACGGGCCGGATGTTTAATATTAACATGGTGGGCTGATAATCTCTTGATTCGGGCTTCAACAGGGCTGAAGGTCAAATAACAGTAGTATTGGGCTTGTGAACAGTGATCTTGAACTAATATCAAACTCAATTTGGGTTTGAGTGA